CTGAACGATTTGAGGGGGGGGGGGGCGGGGTACTCATAAATTTGAAAGTCTAATCAAGGGGAAAGTATTTTGGAGCCACTGCTCTAGACTTCCAATCAAAAACATTCAGTTGTGAACATCTGTCCTGAAGTTTCCTTTGGTCGCCGTCTAAGTTCCTGTTTCAAAACTCCCCCCTCCCACCCACCCCACTAAAATGTCACTTTTTTTTTTTACAGTATGATAATCTTGTATATTATTTTAATATAATTGTTAAATTTATTTTTAAAAACTTATAAACTCAAATAATCATTTCTGTGAACTTCATATTCTAATATCATCTAGTTCACCTTTGTAATCANTTTTTTTTTTTTTTTTTTTTTTTTTTTTTTTTTTTTTTTTTTTTTTTTTTTTTTTTTTTTTTTTTTTTTTTTTTTTTTTTTTTTTTTTTTTTTTTTTTTTTTTTTTTTTTTTTTTTTTTTTTTGTGGAGAACTTTTGTCTATTAATTAAAATAAAAATAGTAAAATAGACATAGTTTCGTTCCCTAATTAATATTATTTGGTCCTAGTTTGTTTTTTATGGTATTTCATATATATATTTACATTTTTAAGTCACGATATAAAACTGTTATTATATTTTCCATAATCTAATTTTCTTTTTGACTGAGTGACCAATAAATGCAGCGGTTTGTTTAGATTAGGTAGTTCATTTTTTTATCAATTACTTTCATATCTTACCATGTATGTTACTAGCATAAATAAATTATTAACAATAAGTTTTACTATTTTTAAGAGCGCAGATACTAATTTATGGTATATAAATGTCGAATTTTAAAGAAACCTAGCAAATCAACTTGCTCCACCCTGGAGAAAAAAAAAGCTGTTAAAAAATAAAGCAAAAATATAATTTAAAAAAACACGAAATTTTTATTTGTATAACAAAATTAATTTAAGTATTGTAAGTGGTATCTTTATCCAATAAAATTGAGGATAGGGTTCAGCCAATGATAAATCGCTATTCGCAACATACTTGGATAAAAAAAAAAACTTGCTATATGTGGGGAAAGTGTGGCCTTTACACGAAACAATAGGTAATTAAACTAATTCTCCATCTTTATAATAGACTTTATTTTGATTTATTTATTTCTATCAAACTTTGGCAATGAGAACATGAAGAAAAAAATATTTTCAATTTCTATTTTTTCATAATATAAGTTTAGCTTTTAAAGTAGGACCAGGTGTGAGCTGTACATAGTCATCATGATTAAATATCATACTAATTAGTACAGTTTTTGTCATTTATAAACAATTTATGAAAGATGTCATTTAGTATTTTTCTACTCAACAGTATTTGTTTCTCTTTTTTTTTTTAAAGTTGGTAAAAAGTTTTATTTGGGAAGGTACTCAGTCTACTTTCTTTTTGTCACGGACCTTTTTTTTTGTATGAAAATATATGTGTATATATTTATTTTTGATTTATTTATGAATGAAGCAGTTTGATTAAATAAATAGTTGAATAAAAAATATTTTATGAAACAACCGCACTATTAATCAACAATTTAAGGTATGCGCTAAAGCAGTGGTTCTCAACCTTCTAATGCCGCGACCCTTTAATAAAGTTCTTCATGTTGTGGTGACCCCCAATCACAAAATTGTGTTGCTATGTCATAACTGTAGAGTATATGCATTTTCCTTGGGTTTAAGGTGACCTCTGAGAAAGGGTCGTTTGACTCCCAAGACGCCCAGCGCCCCCCCCCCCAATGCCCATTTACTCGAGAGCCATTGACGCCTTCGATTGCTGATTTACCCNCCCCCCCCACGCCGATCAATGTGACAGCACGGGAGCGAAACTAACCTGGGACCAAAAGAATACCATCGGGTACGCCACAACTAGATTGAATTCAAGTTATGTATGGCACCGGGTGTCCTAATACCTAATTTGCGCGCTGATAGATGCCATTTCCTCCTTAAATGTCCCCTCTCTGTGGATCATTTTTCTGAAACAAACAAAGAATTTCTGTTAACGCCAAACTGCACTCCTTGATTTTGAATGTATCCAAAACTTTCTGAGAGACCTTTCCCAAATTTAGTTAGGTACACTTCTGCGCCACCACTCTCTGCCCGCCTAACCTAATCGAAATCGCAGTGTCGAAACCTTTAGCAACAATTATTGGATGTTAGCAACTAAGATGATTTTCTTGAACAATCGAATATTTTATTTTCCTTTAATTTTGTTTATAGTTGGACAGAATAGATTACAGGGCTAAAACTTAGCTACACCCCAAAGCTTACACTCAACTAAATTGAATTTAGTTTATGTTGGGTGAAGGGGTAGAGTTATACATGAAACGGATCACCGTTATGCCTAATTGTGGCACTTCCCAGGGGCGTAGCTAGTTTAAGTGCTGCCCTGGGTGAATTAATACTTTCGACATCCCCCCTTCCACGAAAATAAATCTGTATCATGCCTAGATGCCGCCCTTCCAAAAATGAAAAAAATCCCCCGGGGGGGGGGGAGTACCGTTCTCTCTGTCCACCCTTCCTGTGCCCCCTTGCACTGCCCACACGAGCATCTGAAATGACACTGTTATGTAGTACACTATTTTTCCATGCTTGAACTTTGCTTGACCCAAATTAAATCGCTAGCAGACGGTAGCGTTTGTTGTGGGCGTGGCTTAGTCTTTGAACTATCGTGTTTACTACCACTCTCCCAATTAAACATGGTTAGTATGTCTACAAGTAGCTGATGGAACGTTCTCGATTGTATTAGAAAAGTAAGGGCGTTTCTAAACTCGTCGGTAGACCCACATATATACCGGATTGACAGGCGCGGAGGGAGAGAGAGATTCAGATAGATATATTTTAACTTCACGAGACGCGTATCATTCTTTGTGTACTTATGCGTGTTTATTCGCTTCCGTCATAGTACATTATTAATTGGCACATTATAATAACTGTGTTAACTGTGCACCGGTACAAGATCTACCATACTGTAAGTTGATGATTTGTAATGATATTTCTTTTGTTTTTGTAATTGTATTATTACTAAATTAAATGTTATTAATTGTAATTAGTACTGTTTTGGGTGTCATAATTTTGTTATTGTATTTATCTATGGTATCGTCCTTTGTTAGGCACTGTTTGAATGAGCCATAAATTTAAAATAGGAGATAAATTTCTCACAAGAGAAGCCAGTGCGTAACAGCCCCTCTTCCCCCGTACGGAAGAATTTATCTGAATGAAGAAACGCGGCTTGGTAGTGACCTATTTGTCGATCGCTGGACTCAATAAATGACATAGAGCAATTTTATTTTGTACATTATAGCCTAATCTATCGAGTGAAAGTAGAGTAAAATTAATGCATAATGCATGAGGCAATCGTGTTTTTAATGGTAATGCATATAAAGTGCCGTCTTAAGACATGGGCTTAATGAGTAGTTGCCCAGTTCCTCAAACTTCTTTTTGGGTCTCACGCTTTTATTGACATCAAGTTTCCGATAATGTTAGTAAATATTGAATTATCTTTAGGCAATTCAATTTTCTTTAAAACGCAGTTAGACGCAAGTTTCCAGAGTTTTTGTGAATTAGTTGTTATTTGTTTTTTTTTTTCCATTTTAATGTCAACTCAAATTTATTTGGGTTACTAGACTGAAAACAAAATTGTCAATTTAAACATATCAAAAAGAACAGAGATCCCGAAATTGTCTGGAAGAAACACGAATCAAAGCGCATTGGCATCCTGGGCTCCTAATGATTTTCCGTACAATTCTTTATAAGGTTGGAGAGGAGTAAGCGGCCACAGTAAATTAATTTCCCCAGGGTCCCCGATAATGTTAAGACGGCATTGGGCATATGTTCATAATCAGTTTCATTGATAAATCATAGGTTTCATAGAACTCTTTCTGTGCCCTAAATATTTACCTCAGGTCAACTATTAGTGTTAGCAAAGAAAGGTGCTGTGAAGAGTTCATTTTCTTTTGCCTAATATTTAATTTTTAATTCAGATCAATTATACAGTATATTAATTTAATCATCTCTTATTTTAATGTACCAAATTAATCGTTTATTATATTTAAATAGGTAATGGTGAAATATAGAAATCGATTGTTATTGCAAGTGGAAAAATCACTTTCATTTAAAAAAAACAAAAACGGATATTCCTTCAATGATTTGGCTGTTTACCTTTAGGGAACATTATCGAGTTCCTAAGTAGAAATAATCCGTTGTAAAAAGTAATTATGGATACTAATAAAGCTTTGAAAATTGTGAAAACTCGAAGAATTAGCCCTAATTCGAAATTGTATGTTATTGTATTATACATAGCAATACTAAATATTCCGCTGTTGTTACTGTACATCAACAAAAATGAAATGCACCGTGGGGAGGAAACGCTCCAGCTCATCCATCTGGTGAAGAACATTTACTGGCCACCTCGTCCGTTTACTAGCTCATGGGTAGAGCCACAAGTTAAAAAATCAGACTATCACTATGATACAATGTTTGATTCACAGCTTTTCTTCGCAATTTTTCTAGTCTGCTACCCATGGCGTAAACACTGGGAAATTACAGCAAGTCTGATCAAATTGTTCATACCACACGTTAAAAAACATGAATTGGTAGGATATTACGTGTTTTTCAACTTTTGTGTATTTTTTTCATTTATGCTTCTTGTATCCATGGACGGCATTTTCAGCTCTTTATACTGGTATACGAAGAACAACATGATAGAATGGCTGGACCGTAGCGTTATTGACGCAACTCCGAATTTGCAGCTTTTCCCCCTAAAAAATATACAATATGATCATCCTTTTACTATGGGTTTAAGTGCACCTTTTAAGTTGGGAAGGCATTACAGATATTTACAAGAAGATGTAGAATTTCACTGTGAGTATCTTGTCTTTTCGATGGAAGGTGCCTATCCTGTCTACCACTCGTCTTGGTGGAAGAAAAATGGTGAGCCAGTGATAGCTGATCATAGAGTTTTTGTGAACATAAGCATAAAAGCCGAAGAAATATTAAATCAGATGTCTATACTCAAATGGTTCCTTATACGATCAACTCTAACCATTCTTTTAGTAAGAGAAGAAGATTTTGGTGCATACTCGTGTGATTACTACAATCCAATGAAAGTTCGTGTTGTACCTCGAGCTTTCATGACTCCCAAGGTCCCCGATAGTAAGATAATAAAGCAAGCAAACAGTTTTGACTACGAGACACAGCTGCCACCAATGTCACCCCATCCTGATTGTGGATGCAAACCAAATCCAATTGAGGATCCAGACATTTCAAAGAGTGTTATAACGTATGATAAAACGTGTTTCAATGAGTTTGAACTAGTCAGGACCCCGTCTACAGACAAAGTCATTCCTATTAAAGTAAGTCCTGGTGGAGTCTTATTCGAACAAGCATCATACTGGACAGTAGCGGATGAAGATGATATTCTTGTTGATATAACATCTGAAGACTCTTGCCCCTTTCGAGAGAGCCCAGAGTGCTGTTCAATATTCATTAAAATATATTGGATTTTTTTTAAAAGTGGCAGTTTTTATGATATGCCATTTTCACGGCTCATGAGATCTGATAAAACACTTCTAACTGGCAGCTGGAGGTGTGTATGTCAATCATCCTACGGTCTACACAACCACACATTTCTAAGACAATATTTCAACACTTCTACAAATGCCTCGGAATTGATAGAAATTGAATTTCCCATAAAACTGTTGTTGGAGCCAATAAACAAACATACTGTACCATTAGCTGACAGTCTTCCTTTCTGTACTTCAGGTGCTAACGATTCTTCAAAGCTGTGTATTATATTGGACAATGTGTTAACAAATCCAGTCTTCACTGTGTATACTTATGATATCATTTTTTTCACATGGATTTTTTTCATAGGTTGTGTAATTTTTGTTCTCATAAACTCAACCAGGAACTTTATTACGATTCCTATAAGGCGATTTTCTCGCCATGTCTTTACAGATATTCCAGGCCAGTTTTGCACTATAAAAGGTCAACCGATCATGATATTAGGCAAGCACAACATTAATAAAACAAGCAAATGTAGACCCTCCAAAAATACCAGTTATGACATTTATCTTTCATACAGTGAGGAGGATGATTATGCCAGAGAAGTTAGTAGTTTTCTCAGAGCTCTATTTATAAACAGAGGTCTATCAGTGTTTGACGCCTCCTCTGATATCCTGCCTGGTCATGTGACAGGCAGTGTGATAAGTAAAGCTATAGAGCACAGCAAACGATTTATCGTTCTCGCATCCCAGGCTTATCTAGATGATCGTCTAACAAAAATGGAGTTTAGTTGCATACGAGATGTGATGGTCAACCAAAACACGAGTCCTAAACAACGCCAACTTGTGATTCTTCTCGAGGACTGTGATATCCAGTGTCTACACCGAGTGGCGTGCATTCGTGTGCCTCAATATATGAAAGAATTCGTCCAGCTGGATGATGATTCAGTCAAGCGCATCAAAGAGTGGGAGTTGCTGACCCGTCCAGTTGTTTCCGCTGAAACCAGCTTTCATAAATTTATCCCGAAGCTTCGACTGTGGGGATTTAGTTGGAAATCTTTGTTTTTTATTGCCTGTCTCATATTTTTTGCGATTCGCTCATCATTTTTTGTTTCTTTTGATGATAACTTGAGCTACTTTGATGAGCTCTTGGAAAGAGTGTAAAAGTGTAATCGATTTTTAAAACTCTATATTCTTTTGGAATAAAGCGTTTCTTTCAAGATTTTTTTTAAAAAAGATCTCAATAGCATACAGTCTAATGCAGCGTCATGCAAAGAAAAATCTGCCCCAGTGGCAAAGACTGAAAACGGCCACCCCCTGTTTTAACATTAGATGGTAGTTAAATATGGAAAATTAACTATTTAGCGCCGCCGCCCACCAAATTCGCACCGCTCTACTATGATGCTCACTTATCGGGTTCCCATGAAATGTCGTCCCTATTCTGCTCTATATATTAGCTACTAGTCCCCACGTTTCGATCAATCATTAAATAAAGGAATTAAAAATGTGTCCTTTCGAGTAAAAAAAAAAGTATCAATTCTAGCTTTAAATACGTGTCTAGACCTGAAACGAATAACTATTGTCAGATTCAGTTAATTGTGATTTCAAAATTTAACGACTTGATAATGTTACCTATTTAGTATACGACTATGTGCTGGCATTTAATACATAAATGGCTGGCCCATAATTTTCAGGGTTGTAAACGGTGGCACTCTCAGATTACGTTGTCATTTTTGTTTTAGTGTTCACGATATGTATTTATGAATATGTATGCGAGAGAATTCATTTTTATGTTGTGTAATGCATGTGTGTTTTTGAGTCAACCTGAAGATAACGGTCTTCAACTCGACCGCTGTCATCTGGCTATACCGTAGTTTTTAGGTTTTTGTTCACTCGGGACTCGGCCCCTCCCAAATAAAACTCCCCTTCCATGCAACTATTTACCTGTAGCTGGTTCTCTTTAACTATCTTTATATTTCCTTTGTATTATTTTAAATATCAAGGAATGAAAAACTTGACAACGTTGACACTTTAAGACCTCAACGAAAAATAAAGATTCATGGAGACCGAAACTAATTCTTTCGATACTAGGCAGTCTTTTAAAATGATCGACTTCTTTTTTGAAATGCCAGTCTGGTTCTGGTAGTGCACGTTGCTGCATCCATACACTAGCATAAGTGCAACGGTTGGGGAAGCGATGTCGCTATTCTAACAGCTCCTAGCAGACGCCAGGGGAGCCCTGAAGCTTTCGACAGATGTTGAGTCCGCAGCGGCATTGTCCAGGTGGTTCCAAGCAATTAGTGATTGCTTATACTGCACTGTGTTACAGTCTAATCATTCTATCCTGCCTGAAAGTGATATTCCTTGTTATTTATTTTTTAACAGGCTTTGTTTATGCTAGTTTCATAGTTTACTAAACTATTTCAAATATGATGTGTTGGGTTGGTTTGTTGTTTTTCTGTGTCTTTTAAAATGTTTTTCCGTTACGGTGCTTTTTCAGATTTACAAACATTTTATTTCACGAAACATTGGATTTGTCAATTTATATCAAAATTTGATTACTATTTTGCAATAACTTTGGTCTTTCTCTATAGAAACTTTACTATTTCCTTGCATGTCAAAACTTTGAATTTTTTTATTTATTTACCTGTCAATTGATTCTTATACCTGAATGTTGAATTCTTTTAACAATTTAAGATACCTTATTAATGTCCATGTATGTAAAGTTTTTAAAATTAAAATGAATATATATATATATATATATATATATATATATATATATATATATATATATATACAAACGAAGCTACCCGAATGCTGGTGGACCTTATGAAACGATAAGAATCAGCTCTAAACATAATAGAACTCTTTCACTATATTGTTATAAAACTTAGATTAGCTAATAAATTAACTACGTGTTTGTTCTTGGTTTTCTTACAATAAAAACCTGTCATAATAATGTTGCTTTGGTTTCTTTTGTTTTCTAACAATCTCTGAAATTTTAATTAAAATTGAAAATCAAAATAATGTTCATAGGTAAGGATGATTTTGTACTGAATGTAATTTTACCTATACACAAATCTACTTATCGGTTCTCTTTTCATTTCACTTGAAAAACAGGTTGTGAAAAAAGTACAAGCAATACACCTTTGCCTTCTCTAATGTCATTGAAATAGTCTCGTTTTTTTTTTTTTTTTTTTTTTTTTTTTTTTTTTTTTTTTTATATTTTTTTTTTTTTTTTTTTTTTTATTTTTTTTTTTTTTTTTTTTTTTTTTTTTTTTTTTTTTTTAATTTGGATTTAAAATTCCTTTGTCTTAAGACATACACTTCTTTATAATAATCTGTTATTTACAATGAACTGCCAAGCTGTGCCTGCGGTAATTTTTAACATGCTGTAAATCAGAATCCAATTTTACATAAGTTTTAACCTGAATGAATACATCAAAATGTAGTTGTATTTTTTAAGGCATCTCTTCTTTTTATTGAACGACTGGCAATAATAAAATGTATAACAAGATTGTTTCTTTTTAATACTGATCGTGATTTGGTGAGGTAGGCCTGCCCATTCATCATTCGAAACCAGAATCAAACGATGAAACATTCAACCTTTTTCTCCAGTTTCAAGTTGTGCTGCCGGCAACACTTGCCCTTTGACCGGTGTAGGTCAATGGACCATCATTTTGAGAAACACTGCTAAAGGCTTCACCTAATTGCGGAAATTCCCCAGGGAAAACCCGAAATATAATTAAAACTAAAGTCAGCCATTTGTAACCGTGTAGTCTTGAAATTTGTCAACAAAACACTGTTTAAAAAAAAATGTAATCCAAAGAAATGAAAAGGTGTGTCTGCTCACTATTTAACCAAATTAGTTCAAATCAAATTTAAGATTGTGTTTAGAAAGAGGTGGGGATTCCTTGCAGATTCTAAGATTAAAAAATCATAGCAGTATTGAAAGAAAATGTCAACATTGAAAAAAAAAATCATTATGTTTTTTGACTCTCTGTTGCACACTTTTTACTTTTATTAAACGTAAAACGGTGAGTTTAAACTTATCAAATGACTGATTACCATGAACAAACAATATTTTAAATTTAGCCTTTTTTAAAAATAAATCCTATTGTTATCTTATTACTAATGAAAGATGTAGTCAAACTACTGAACACATTCAGGACTGAAATAGTCATGCCATAGGGCCATGATAGGGCTAGTTGGATAACTGACTCTGAATACTGGAAAGAAAGTCAAATGGACTTATAGCAACCTAGGCAAATAAAGCAATTAGCTGAAACCGGTCATTGGGGGAATAAATTGCGTTCTTATATTATATAAATAGAGGTTCAAATGCGCCTTTCGTGCATTGTGTAATATTAAAATTATAGTGAAATATTACTTTCTTCTCTTTTCTCTACACCATACAGGTGTCTTTACCACTACGGTAATCACAGATTCAACAAATCTCAAGTTTTCACATCATGGAATCGTGTTGTGATCAAAACAGCTGAGATCCGCCTGCAACAAAGCGTGGCAGCTTTAAAGTGTTGACATATTTGAAGCGACAACATTTAATATACGCTTGAGTGACCCATTGAAACCAGGATGGAACCCGCTGGAAGACGACTTCTTCGCATTATAAAAGACGTCAAACCTCCGTCCCATTATAAAATTTTTCTAATTGCCTTCTTAAGACTTTCTGTGGTGCTCGCATTACCTTTATATCTGATTATTTATGTCCATGATAGGGGCAGCTATAAGCTGCTGGTTGGAGATGACACTCTCAAAATGACCCATGATTACGTGGAATGGGAAAAGAAACCCGATGTTGCATACAGTGTATGGAGAGAACAAGACAGTTATATTAATGGATCTTCTTACGAGCGATCTCATTTCAATGAACCTCATTTTGTATTGTTTTGTTGCACGTTTTATAACTGGAATCAAATGTTCATTTTTATAAAAGATGTTATATTACATGCAGCTTATCTAATTTACCTGAAACTGAAGGCCTTGATGAAAAAATATGGATGGAAGAGACTTGTCGTGTTTCTGCTTGTTAGCTTCTTACTGAATTTAGTTCTCATCTGCGGGGGTTGGAATTTTCTGCAGCTTATGTCGGGTCTTATTATAAGAGGCATACATGAATGGTTTGACAGTCAAGTAATAGAAATTACATATCCTGAACTAATTTTTGGGAGGAACATTCCCCACCCACTCACTTTAGGAAAAGGGCCCCCATTTTACTTGACTACTTTCTACAGATACAACAAAGAAGATGTCGTCTTTACGTGTGAATATAATGTCTTCAGCGCAAGAAAAGCTTTTCCTATTTATAAAAATGCGAATTGGAGAAAGAATGGAGTCCCCGTGATTGTAAATGAACGAATTTATGTCAATATAAGTATTCAACTGTTGGCCAAAGTAGATCAATTAGAATACTACAGCGTGAAATCAACCCTGACCATTGAAATGATTGAAGAAACCGATTTTGGTGGCTACACCTGTGTCTATTATAATCCAATGCACACCTTGGTCACACCTGGGCCTAGCATGTGGGAAGATTTTAATAAGAAAAATACTCAACCATCCGACAAACTTCATGACCCAAAATGCCAGTGTAATCCACCCAAAAAGATCAAACAACCTGAAAACTGCCCCTTGAGTAGACAAAAACAACAGGGACAGAGAGGTGCATTAAAAGAGCAAACTTTGGACTGTTTCACTGAATTTCGTTTAGAAAAGATAAATAAAGGAATTATTTCGAATGCATTGAACCCTGGTAGTATTTTTATTACTAGTGCTCATTATATTACTAACACAGACATTGAAGACTTGGAATATGATGTAACATTCCCAAGTGACAAGTCTTGTTGCTCCAAGTTAGTTTGGCTTTACTGGTATTGGTTTCGAGATGGCTTCTTTCAAAGACCACCATTTACTCGTACCAGAATTGATGGAAAAGTCAAATACTTTTACAGGTACCAATGTATGTGTCCATCTTCATACGGTACTAAAGAGTTCACCCTTAGCAGAAACTACTTTAACCTCACGACACGCTCATACGACAGAGCAGACATTGTTTTCCCTTTCAAACTCCGACTGGTTCCAACACTCAGTCATCCCTGGTCATCAAGAAATGGGTCAGACATCTTAAATCTTGTTGATCCCTCGCTCTCGTGTTGGGACAGTGATTTTACTACTGAATCCAACATTAATACGGTGTGCGCTGTCATTAGTTTGCTATTAGAAAGTGCCTTCGAAAATCTAATATTTTATGAAGAATGGATTTTTAATGTCTCAATATTCATTATATTAATGTGCGTTTCTTTCATTCCATTATATTTAAATCGCTGTTGTTCCCGACCAATCTTGAGCGCATGCCTAACTTACGGCAGACGAGAGACAACGCTTGCAGCGGTTAAGGGAGAGCCCATAACATACACAGGTACGTGTGTTGGCCGTAACACAGATATACACCCTGACAAATTTCGCTATCAAGTTTATATTTCATACGAAGAGAACAACCAGTTCGATCTTATGATAGCACAACACATAAAAGGTCTCCTACTGACCTTGAACTTGTCTGTATTCGATTGCAACTCAGATGTCCTTCCCGGGATGCCCGTGTTGGAAGCCATCGGAAAAGCCATCGACAGTAGTTATCGTTTTGTTGTTATCGCTTCCAAACATTATCTGGAAGATGAAGTGAAGGTAATGGAATTTGACAGCATCCAACGGGCGATACTCAGTCAGAATTGCAAACTAAAGGACAGGTTAATTATTATTCAGTCTGAAATCTTTGAAATTCAAAGGATTTATCGGGTACCACACATCCTGATACACGAAGTAGCTCGTGGCGTGGATGCCATGGATGACTTGAGTCTCACTCATTTTTTGAAGTGGGAGACAGCTACCCGTCCATCAAATGTATCAGTCAAGCCAGATGATTTCTATAACAATGTAAGACAAATTATAAATAGAAAATTGGCTTTAGCTATTGGCATTGCACTTTGCTTTCTTGTGATAAATGGCATAGGAATTCGACCATATTTTTTTTCAAATGAGCAATGAATTTAACAAGGCTTTCTTTTAACGTGACAAATTCTATTAAAAAGCTTTATGCTTTGTTGATTTTTACGTTGTTTTAGTTTGTTTCGTGAATTCTTTTTTTTTTCGTTGACTCAGAAGAATCAATTTGCCAAACACATTTTTTAATAATCTGCGTACCGGGGTAAAGTAGCTGACGGCATGCCTGTTTATCTGCCCAATCTTTGTAGTTGATAGCAGGAGAATTAAGCAATTTATCGCACTAACAATAAATGATATCAAAGCAACGTAAATTATCAGCTGGATTCCTGAGATGATTAATCGTTTGTTTCAGTTATGATATAACTTTAAAATTTAACATTCATATTCAGTAACAGGTGAAAATCCATGAGATGGCGTAATAATTTTTTGACTGGTCCAGCTCAGAGAGTCAACAGAGTGACTGAAAGGAAATATTAGTCTTTGTAAAAATAATGTTTAAATGTGAGTGTTTCTAGTGCATGAGGATAGAATGAGTCACAGAGTGGGACAGAATGAGTCACAGAGTGGGACAGAATGGGTCACAGAGTGGGACAGAATGAGTCACAGAGTGGGACAGAATGAGTCACAGAGTGGGACAGAATGAGTCACAGAGTGGGACAGAATGAGTCACAGAGTGGGACAGAATGAGTCACAGAGTGGGACAGAATGAGTCACAGAGTGGAAGAGAAAGAATCAACAAAGTGGGACAGAATGAGTCACAGAGTGGGACAGAATGAGTCACAGAGTGGGACAGAATGAGTCACAGAGTGTGACAAAATGAGTCACAGAGTGGGGCAGAATGAGTCACAGAGTGTTAAAGAATGAGTCACAGAGTGGGACAGAATGAGTCACAGAGTGGAAGAGAAAGAATCAACAAAGTGGGACAGAATGAGTCACAGAGTGGGACAGAATGAGTCACGGAGTGTGACAAAATGAGTCACAGAGTGGGGCAGAATTATTCACAGAGTGTTAAAGAATGAGTCACAGAGTGGTACAGAATGAGTCAGGAGGGCAATTGTATTTGTTGTTTTTGGATACGTTTATAAGCGAAAGGTTTATAGTTTGAAAAGTAAGATAATTTATAGCACGATATTTCAGCTCTAAGGACATCGGGTTCTGGGTGTATTGTAGCCAGTGTTTTAGTAATTATAAACTAGACAGAACCTAGACAAAGAAGTTACGACACAATTACATACAGTCAGATTAGTCTTGCTATGGTCAGCTTTGTGTGTTGCTCTATATTCAGACGAGAAGTGAGAACTTAAATGCGCCTTTGCTTTAACACAATATTTTCTTTGTCTTCCGAAACATGGCGCTTGCTTGCCTAAACGAACCATGTACATGCGCCCCTTCCCCCAGAGGTCACGCACGTTTAGATATTCCTAAAGTGTAAATTTATTATAACGTTTTGATATTGACTTTTTTATACGGGATTCAATTATATGGCATTTAAATGTGAATTTTTTTCAAAAAATGTTTAATGTAATCAAATGTTGATAAGTTATAAATATGTTTGAAATAGTGTATAAAGAATTTGCATATAATAATGGTGTTGAGAATAAACATATTAATGAAGACTTTAGTTGTTGTTTTGATAAATTGTCTATTGTTGTTTTCAACCATTTTTATTTTGTTAAGTTAAAAGCCAATGAAACATCTTCTTACCGCTAATTAATAAAGATCCTTCATTGAATACCCCGAATATTAAAGTTTGACATTCTATGTTTTTACACGAAGCGCTGTACAGGTTCACTCAACGACTCACTCCATGGTTGAGTTCTGCTCTGTATTCAGATTGAGGATGCCCAGTTTCCAAAAGTTTTTTTTTAAATTAATTTTAAACCCAGCAGTTTATCACTAATGTCTTTGTAAACAACAAATTAGGTTAAAGCACAATAAAACCTACTGGATGGATACTGCACTAAATTTTAAATGGAACTTCTTGTTGGTATCGAATCGTAAACAATGAATATCTACAAATAAATGACTTCAAGGATGCGTGTGGCTTAAGAAAAATGGTAGGCCTAAAAGTAATGTCCAGTGCCTGAATGGGATGAAGATTAACTGATGTCAGGCAGGTGCATGGCAAGCCCTGTCCCGCTGGTCAGACTCTACCGGACACACGGTTTCGTCATGCGGGAGTTAAGTATTTTAAAATGGTATTTTTTAGGATTTATTAAGGATATATTCAGACGCTGTGTCGCACCATACAATCAAACAGCTTTTTGATGATGTGTCATAGTTGTTTCTGTTTATCTGTTGCTATGCCTCCTTGAACATGAACTGGGCCATTCATACGGTGTTTTCTTTGGTCTCTTCAAACACAAAAAATACAATGTACTTCAGTGTGTGTCTGCTTGGGGGAGCAGAACAGACGGTCGAATCTAGGAGGCTGTCATTTTTGTCTAGTCTGGTAGGTTAACATTAGTCCTCTTCAAAAAGATTAGTTTTTGCTGATGTTTTTTTGTTGTTGTTTTTTTTGACACTTTTAGTTCCTTTGAGTAAAGAGTAAATATAGTTGAGCATTAAAATTCATATATTTTGTTAATCCTTTATTTTAACTTCGCTTTTGTTTATGTGTGGCTGGCTGGCTCATTGACTGTGTGGGTGGGAAAATCTTCAAACGGCTAATTGACCAACTTCGCGTCAAGCTACCAAGCCGAAATTTGGCACATGGACTCTTTACTCCTGACAACACATTCTATCAAATTTTCAGCCCTCCAACCCCGAGCCCCCATAAATCCGTTTTCAGGGAGAACATAAAATAAAATCCACAGAAACTGCGCTAAATGAGATTCTTTAAACCAAAAAAAAATATATCACAAAGCGTTTGGTGCGTACTATTTTCTTTTGTTTTCCTATAATTGTGGGTGAAGTAAATCTGCAGTGTAAAAGCGGGTGGGACATTGGAATGTCAATAGAGCTCAGGGGCGGGGAAAAAAATCAGCGGTTGCGAGCCTTTCCCTGGGGGGGGGGGGGCGGGGGGGGGCCTAACTAGGATTTTCATAAAGGGCTTTACTTGTATGCATGTTGCAATTTTTTTCAATTTCATTACACCCACCCTCCACACCTCCCCCCCCAATTGGAATGTCAATAGAGCTCAGGGGCGGGGAAAAAAATCAGCGGTTGCGAGCCTTTCCCTGGGGGGGTGGGGGCGGGGGGAGCACTAACTAGGATTTTCATAAAGGGCTTTACTTGTATGCATGTTGCAATTTTTTTCAAATTCATTACACCCACCCTCCACACCTCCGCCCCCAGTTTTCGATATTACATTTTATGGCGAATTTATCAGAAAAGTCATGTTTTTAAGGGTTGTTTCATTTAATGATTTTTTTTTTTTGGTGGAAAACTTAATGTCATTGCAGCCTTGTGAAAACTCTGGGGTCTGTTAAGTTGATGTTATAAAAGTAATAAACTATAGAAATAAACGTGATCTGTGTGTCCTTTTCAAATATACACTATTTTTTGGTGGCGGGTTTTCCCAGCTATGTGCTTTGTCTGGTTTGTTTAGTGTTGCATCCATGATAAACACCAGGCTGTGAAAATATTAATGTCTTTTTTTGTAAAGATGATCTATTTGGTTGGCCACTGGAACCACCTGCTTCCCCAATTGTATAATTGTTAGTGTAAATTGTGTCCGTCCTTCCATTTACGAGGACCACGATAGGCATTTCAGTCTAATTGTTTCTATTGACTGTCGAGGCCAAGACTTGCATGAAAAAAATATATTTATCAGTAAGTGCAAAGTATAGACCTGGAAATCTCCAGGGGGTTGGGTCTTACACCGGGTCTTACACTGGGTGTTACACCGGGTCTTACACGGGGTCTTATACGGGTCATACACTGGGGTCTTACTCCGGGTCTTACACTGGGTCTTACACTGTGTCTTAGCACTGGGTCTTACACTGGGTCTTACACTGTGTCTTAGCACTGGGTCTTACACTGGGTCTTACACTGGGTCTTACACTGTGTCTTAGCACTGGGTCTTACACTGGGTCTTACACTGGGTCTTACACTGTGTCTTAAACCGGGTCTTACACTGGGTCTTACACCGGGTCTTTCGTTGGGTCTTATACTGGGTCTTACACCGAGTCTTACACTGGGTCTTACACTGGGTCTTACACTGGGTCTTACACTGTGTCTTAAACCGGGTCTTACACTGGGTCTTACACCGGGTCTTACGTTGGGTCTTATACTGGGTCTTACACCGAGTATTACACCGGTTCTTACACTGGGTCTTACACTGGATCTTACACCTGTTCTTACACTGGGTCTTACACCGGTTCTTACACTGGGTTTTACACTGGGTCTTACAACAGTTCTTACACTGGGTCTTACACTGAGTCTTACACTGTGTCTTACACCGGTTCTTACACTGGGTCTTACTCTGGGTCTTAGCACTGGGTCCTACACTGGGTCTCACACCGGGTCTTACACTGGGCCTTACACTGGGTCTTAGCACTGGGTCTTACACTGTGTCTTAGCACTGGGTCTTACACCGGGTCTTACACGGGGTCTTACACCGGGTCTTACACTGGGTCTTACACTGGGTCTAACACTGTGTCTTAGCACTGGGTCTTACACTGTGTCTTACACTGGGTCTTACACTGTGGCCTACACTTGGTCTTACACTGGGTCCTACACTGGGTCTTACACTGGGTCCTACACTGATCTTACACTGGGTTCTACACGGGGTCTTACACTGGGTCTTACACTGGGTCTTACACTGGGTCTTACACTGTGTCTTACACTGGGTCTTACACTGGGTCTTACACTGGGTCTTAGCACTGGGTCTTAAACTGGGTCTTACACTGTGTCTTACACTGGGTCTTACACTGGGTCTTACACTGGATCTTAGCACTGGGTCTTACACTGGGTCTTAGCACTGGGTCTTACACTGTGTCTTACACCGGGTCTTACACTGGGTTTTACACCGGGTCTTAAACTGGGTCTTACACTGGGTCTTAGCACTGGGTCTTACACTGGGTCTTACACTGGGTCTTACACCGGGTCTTAAACTGGGTCTTAAACTGGGTCTTACACTGGGTCTTAGGGTAAAGCGAAACAGCTCGATGATTTAACATTCATTTTCACGAGTTTGTGTTGATGAAGAACGCTACCAGAAAGTATTATTTTAAGTTTGTCACTGCTTGCTACTCATTATTTAAAACTTCCACCACAGACACATGACACTGGACAAAGCACAAGGGGTCTAACGTTGACCGTGTGGTACTAAAATTCGAAACACAACATATATTTTACAATGAGACAAGATTATTCTTGACCAGAGCAAAAAACACAAATTACATCAAAATATGTTTATAATAATTATAATACAACAATAATGAATTTATATCTTTATATGTATATGTATAGGAAACAGATGTTTTGGGTTATGCGGAAGAAAATAAGATAGTATATTATTGTAGACACCAACATGTGTGCGTCTGAAAAAAGGGGGTGGGGTGGGAAGAAAGGAGAACACATACTCCGATTTCACGCACTAAAGTACACAAGTGCTCCATAATGGTGCGCACGCATTTTTGGCGCAACTGTATTCTCTAATGGCGCAAGGGTATCGTGCAGATTTGTAATAACAGTAATAATATATCAAATATCAGA